TATATATAATATATATTATATATATATATATATATATATATATATATATATATAATATATATATATATATATATATATATATATATATATATATATATATATATATATATATATATATATATATATATATATATATATATATATATATACATATATTATATATATATATATATATATATATATATATATATATATATATATATATATATATATATATATATATATATATATATATATATATATATATATATATATAATATATATATATATATATATATATATATATATATACATGCATATATATATATATATATATATATATATATATATATATATATATATATATATATACATATATATATATATATATATATATATATATATATATATATATATATATATATATATATATATACATATATATATATAATATATATATATATATATACATGCATATTATATATATACATGCATATATATATATATATGCATATATATATATATATACATGCATATATATATATACATATATATATATATATATATATATATATATATATATATATATATATATATATATATATACACTGTATAATACAGTGCATTAGTGTATGAATTCCAGACACATATACATACATATACATACACTAATATATATATTTATATATATGAAATTGTTTTTTATATTTATATATATGAAATTGTTTTATGTAGCCTGAGTTGGTGATCACAGATTGTGCAAGTAAGAGGCAGTGTACCAGTCTCGGGTGTAATCTTTGGTTGGAGAAACGGTCCCATCAACTGTACCCTATAATCAAGTGCAAGGACCTATTAGAAAAGGTATCAAGAAGTTTCCAAAACACAGGATAGCGTCCAGGTTTGACTACCATATAGTAAAACTGGCAGTATCAAGGCCTTGAAGACCTGTAACTCTGTCCTTCTGCACAGGTACGGGCATCTCCAAATGCTTTCCTCAAGAGAGTTTGTGACCCCTGTTGCCAGGCCAATCTAACATACTTCCTGGTCTGACAGTCTAGAGTTTTAAAGTACACCACCAAGGTATGAAAAGCTCTCTGTGACCTCAATGTCCTCGCTGCAAGCATGTACTGACCTAGCAGGCCCCTAAAGTCCTTGATCTTGGTTTTGATCTTGGAGACCTCAAGACCAAGGGGCTTTGCTTCACTGCTAAACGCACCAAGAGATACCACTAGGGTTTCTAAAGACTCAGACAGAATAACATCCTCATCAACAAAGTCATGGTCAGTAACCTTGATAGTGGCAGGTTGATCCACAATGACTTTGAACAGTAGCTGTGTCCAGTATCCATACCATATGTGTTGAAAATCATTGGTGCAAGGACACTTGCCTCACTCCTGAACTAACGGGAAATGGCTAATGGTTGAAGTAAATAAATGTGCTAGACATCTAAGGTCATATAACACTAACAAGAGAGAAGCTCAATGGTCCCCCACCATACTTTACAGCAGTTTCAGTACCAGTATACAGGCTTGCTATTAATCCCATTATCCTTGTTAGAATTCCTGTCAATCTCAGTGTTTCCTGATGCACCATATTGAACACCTTGAGGTCAATGTAAGCTACAAACAGCCTATGCCTAAACTCATGACAAAGTTCTGCAATGACTCAAATTGCCAGGATACAGGATTCTTTGCTGATGCTATCCAAATATTATGTTATTGTTGCTGGCATTATATTTATTATAATATTATTAACAATACTACTAGGAATAGGAAAAAAATAAATACATAAATAAAATCTTAATCAAAAACAAGGAAAGGGTAAGCAGGTGAGCTAGGGATGAAAAGTTATTGACTCATTGGTGATTTAAGCACTTGTGGAGCCATCAGTATGCATGGATAGTCCTTAAACAAAAAGATATAGTAGACATATTTTCTTGCCATCCTGTCTACAGTAGGGTTAATTCAATTACTAAACTGGAATTGCATAGCAAACTGCAATGTATTTTCTTGTAAAGGTAAACATATATCAAAACAAATTTGTGTTTTCATACATTTATTAGTGATTGACTTGACTCATATAAAAAATGTATTCCTATTCTCCAAAACCTAATCATATATTACTTTATTCCTTAATGTTTACATACCAAAGGAAAGACTATGCCTTTTAATTAGCACAGATAAAAAAGTGACCATCACACAATACACCTAATTATACATATATTACAAAAACAAACCTCATATAAAACAAATGGAGCCTCCAATCTATAATTTTAATCACAATTTTTTCCAATGACAAAATAAATAAGAAAGTCTGCATAACCACCTTTCCTTTTCAGCATATTGAGCAGGGAGATGTGCAAAATTTCCTAGATTACAGTTAGGGTACATCAGATATGGATTTTATTTATGGTATTTTCACATTTTTATCAAATTTCTTAACCTAATTCTTCCCTCACAGCACGATATCTTGTCATTTCATTGGGGAACACATGGGAGAGCTCAACCAAAAGCATTGCTTTAAACCTCTTGTAAGCATCAATGCGTCCATTAACCTGTATTAATAAATGCAAGCAATGAAGAACTAGAACTTTAACGAAACACTATTATATTCATAATAGATTCAAAGACTTTAAGTGAAATATCTTCACATCAGGCTAAAGTATGGTTATTCAGTTTCTGATACTTTCAATTAGTAACAAAGTCTATTATATATCAATATTAAAAGTAAATAAAGATGCAGAAACAAAACATTTACCTGTTCATTTTTGGTAAGTGCCTTCTCCATACAGTCTTTTGTGTACAGCTGTGGGTTTCTCCCTCCATCAATGTATCTGTTAAAATAAATTTATCTTAGCATTATATGAGTTCTTTTTTAAAATGTATTTTCATACTGAAAAAAGCACAACAACAACAACTTCCTTACCACTATGCTTGAATATTATTTAATTTTCTCAAACTACCAGATAAGTTGTACAGCAAGAACATGTGCTCATACTCACTCAAAAACTTCAAGAGGCACATGGACATCCTGAACAGCAGACCGTAACTTGTCAATGTCCTGTATGTTTGTAATCATATTTTGCCTGAAATAACAAAAAAATCATTAGTGATAGTTAATAGATCAACTTAAAGTATGAAAAAGAGGAGGGTACACATAATGAAAAATTCTAATACAAGTTCTGAAGTGTGATTACTTTACTGTAACACACTTGCTCAGAATCTTAATTTCACTCTACTGACACCCCTGGCTGCATACTTGACAATACAGAATATGTATATTTTATAACTAGAGTCACCTTATTTCATATAAGATCAAAAGTCACACTCCTCTATGATAAAAGAGAACTGATAGGGTAATATACAATGTTCACATGAGAATCAATGCATTTACAGTGTGTGTTCACAGTTTATCATGAAAACCATTCTTCTATATCATGTCAAATATTGGACACAACTGAATTTCTGTGATTTAAAAGAATCAACTCTTCTGGTATAAAATGTTTCACATAGATCACATTCTAGGAGAAATCAAGGATAACAATGGATGCTGGAATGTAGTCTATTCAGTAGTTGTTTTTTGTAGTAAATATAGATTAAAAAAGAAACACGAAAACACAGAGCACAAATGGCAATGAACTAAGGTCTGTTCAACAAATCCCAAATCACTATGAATTTGAGAAAACTCCAAAACAGATTAAACAATAAAAAGTATGAGATGTATCAGCCACACTGACCAAGTTATCAACAACTATTAACAGTACAACACAAGCAATATTTCTGGTCACACTTAGCACAAGATGATAAGTAACAAAATAGTATCAAATGATGGCATAGCCATGCTTTGTCCTTTGGCAAAAGCTAACATCAATCATATATGTTCTTGAAAAATAAACCTACATAAAGGTACACATAGGACACCTACAAGCTGTCTTGTCAAATTGTTTGTGGTGGATCACAAGTAGAAACCACTAATGAGATTAAAGGTGCATCTAAGATATCATAGGTTATGTAGATCTATGAAAAGTATTTAATTTGTGTTGATTACCTTTAGGCCATAAAAGTGTTGGTGGTAATTCTTTACAGTAAGGACACTCACCAGACACTAAGACCCCAACTCCATGTCACAAAATTTATTCAACATTCTTAGTTGTTGGGAACTGCCTAAGGGGATGGATGAAGGGGGTCTCTAGCCCCAAGCACCCCCTGGAGAACATTGTCTTCACCTCTGTATGTACGGCAAGATAAGAGCTGAAACTTGAGAGCACCAAGTGGACTTAAGCTATGATCAGCACTTTTCCCTTAATTTGTAGCGTTACCATTCATGTCTGCAGATTATATCCTGTACTGACAACTTCAACTTTTCGTACTCGACAAGAATACCATAAATTTTAACCCTGTTGGCTTGTATTCATTATAATTATAACCTTATCTTTTTGCTAATCATTCTGAATAATTACCATACATAACTTAGGGAAAGAGATTTATTGGATCTGCATACTCTAATATGATAAAATACCTTGTTAATCATATTTTGTAACTAGCTTCATATATAAAATACATGAAATAATCTGCTAAGGCAAATAATACAGTCAAAATTGAGAAAAATAGATCAAGGCTAATGCTGTCCACAGAGTAAGTCCCTAGTAGGGTAGGGATCCAGGTGCAGAGCCTCCAATGGGGAAATACAGCAATGGGTTTTTGGTTTATAAGGCAAAGTCTGTGGATTCCCAGGAGTAGCTATAATAATAAGGACTTAAGTTTCTGAGGGGTGCGGTCACTTCATAAACAGTTACCAATAATTTATATAATTTGCAATGGAAAATAAAACATCCATACATATTACATTTTGAATAATTTAATGCACTGTCTATTCTTACGGCAGCCGTAATCAGCACAAACTGGGCAAATGCAACTTCAGTGCCTTTTGCATGTTTGGCTTCCGGTTTCGCATTCTACAAAATGGGCAGGCAACGTGAATAACCAACCTAACCTAACCAACCCAACCAAACTAATCTAACTTAACCGATCTAACTACTTAGGTTAGATTAGGTTAGGCCGTTAGGTTAGGTTGGGAATGGGAAAAGGCCTCATAAAACGTAAGTAATTGTCAAAGTGACCAGATTATGCGCATGCACAGTGGACTGCCGTAACTCGAGAATATAGATAAGCGAATAGACTGCCGTAACTCTATCCTGTGCCATAATTGAAACAGAATAATAACTGCAAGGTGTGATGACTGTGTGAAACTAAAAAAAAAATACTATATATTCTACTGAAATGTAGTTAACATTTCTACTTTTCCTAAATAGAATTAACTCACTTCATTGCCTAATAAAATGAAAAGACAATACTCGATATTCTCCCCTGTTTCGCACTACAGTCTCCCCTTCGAGGTGCACCTTGCAACAACTTACAACTTCTGATTCAAGATGGTCTGTCCCTGCGGCTGGAAATCGCTGACGAGGATTCCAATCTGCCGGACATTCTCGATGAAGGTTTCCAGTTGATTTTCGAGTTGTTCTAATGAAGACGACATCCCGTTTACCTTCCGCTTCCGTCTCAAGCTCTTCTGTGGTTTTTCTGATGGGATTGGGGAAGATAAACGAGTGTCGTGCTTCTCTTTCAAGTTGTCGTGCGATAGTCATGTGTGATCGTGCCGATAATTGTGATGGTTGATGAAATAGAAATATATTGTAAGGTTCTGACGTACCACATGATGTCTTTGAATATAGCGTACTCGTTTTTATCTAGCGATTTATCAGTCTTTCAACTAATACACACACGCACGCACACGCACACGTACGCAAGGTCTACATAAGTACTTATATAGACCTTGCAAGCACACACGCACGCACACACACACACACACACACACACACACACACACACACACACACACACACACACACACACACACACACACAACACACACACACACACACACACACACACTATATATATATATATATATATTATATATATATATATATATATATATATATATATATATATATATATATATATATATATATATATATATATATATATTTATATATATAATATTCTGTCACAGTGACTCAAAAACAAGTATTTCATAGTCCCGCAATAGACAAGTCATAGGGCACATATATTGTTATTGACATGTATAGCTATTATCTATATATTAAGGCAAGGCCAAGTGTGAATTTTAAGGGAATTGTGAGAGGCTAGTAAAACTACCCATTCTGTATGATTAAAATGGTGGAAAGTGTGTTTCGTTATCCATTCCACCACGTGTGTTTATTCCCGGTGCATTTGATATATTATTGAACTAGAACGAAGTCTAAAGAATAGACAGAAAGAAGCGTCACCAGACTAACGTGATCAAAGTATTAAGTAACTTCTCCACCTTAATCAATTAGGTAGTTACGATAGTTATAAGAAAATATAGGAGGGTGACAATGCATATATGTAAGATGTATATAATATATGTATTATATATATATATATATATATATATATATATATATATATATATATACATGTATATATACATATGATATATAATTTTGTATATGTATAAATACATACATACATACATACATATATATATATATTATATATATATATATGTATGTATGTATTATGCATATATGCACACATCTACATATAGATTAATATAGATATACACATATTATGTGTATATTATATATATATATATACATATACTACATACATGACATATATAGATATGTATTATTGCATTAGATAACACATATAGTGTAGTACTTTTTTATAAATATATATATATTATATATATATTATATATATATATATATATATTATATAATATATATATATATATATATATATATGCGCATGCGTGCATCTATCTCACGCACGAAACGGTAGAGCATATATAAATTACATGTAAAACATGTCAAAATATATTTTATATATGTATACACACGTACAGACACACATACATACACACATATATATGTACACACACATATACACACGCACACACACACACACACACACACACACACAACACACACACACACACACACATATATATATATATGTGTGTGTGTGTGTGTGTGTGTGTGTGTGTGTGTGTGTGTGTGTGTGTGTGTGTTGTGTGTTGTGTGTGTGTGTGTGTGTGTGTGTGTGTGTGTGTGTGTGTGTGTGTGTGTATCTGCATCTGCATCTACACGGAAAAAGCGATAGAACATGCTGAATAAAATGTACATGTGCAAACATGTACACTTTTTAGAGCATGTATATACATGTACAAACATATACAATTTTAAGAGAATGTATGTACATGTACAAACATGTATATACATGCATTTATGTATACATAGATATATACGTGCATATATATACTTTATATATATATTATATATATATATATAATTATATATATATATTATTATATATAATACAAAGTATGTGTATGATCATATGCACACATTTACATATACATACAAGGTCTAAAATACATACTCACAGAAACATGCATACATACACACGCGCACGAACGTGTTTTTAAATGTGTATGTACAGCATGTATGTATATATACGTAGAATTTTTTTTATATGAGTGCATATGATTATACCTATATATACTTCTATATCTTTGAATACACACACACACCACACACACACACCACACACACACACACACACACACACACACACACACACACACACACACACACACACACACACACATATATATATATATATATATATAGTTTGAGAATATATATGTTTATATATATGTATGTATGTATGTATGTATGTATGTATAATCATAAAGGTACAGTTCGTTTTTTATGTGCGTTGCGTTTCCGTCAGCGCGTCCGTTGGTCTCAGTTAGGCGAACGCTGGGAGTCTATAAACAAGGGTCTCGTTATGGAGTCACTCGGGGGCACAGCAATGTTAATCAAATCTTCATCGTTAGATATTCAAGTCCTCAATTGGTTGTATGAATATAGTGTGAAGAATGGATTGGACCAAGCCTGCAAGGGTAAGCATATATAGAATGAAAATCACAAGAAGACTCACGTTTTAAATTTCATTCGAAGTTTCGAGTTGTATGCTTTTGCAAAAAAGTATTTCAAAGCTGTCAAAAGAAGTAACATATACAAACATATATTAATACTATCGATTCTGGTGCCGACATATTTTATTTGATGTTCTTTGTCCAAATAGAGCAGTTTGAGTCCATAAAATTTTGCCAACCTAAGTGACGATATTAGTCCCCATAACAGATGGAGGCCTAATGATGTGTTCGGAACTGCTCATCTATCTCGTCCAGACCAGTTGGACGAGATGTTTTGACTGTTTGGAACCTCCACTATCTCGTCCCGGACAAATAGTCTAGCTCGTCCAACTCGCCCTCCTGCGAAGGTGGCCGAGCAGGATGAGATGACGTCACAATAGATTTTGTATGTAAACATTGACAGTTGCAGGTAACCCCAAGATATTGTGGTAATTTTGACATTTATTGGTGTTATCTAAGGATATTTTTGTGTTTGTCAGTTGCAGGTAAGTTAAATATCATCAAAATATAGCGTGTAAATAAAGACACTGGTATGATAAAAAAGTGAATGTTTACATTCGAGCTGGTTGCATTCTGGGCAGAAAGGGTCTTGGAGGTTCTGAACGCGGCCCACTTGTCCTGCTGGTCCTGGACAAGATGTTTGGACGAGCAGAAATTCATTCGAACGCAGCATTAAGTATAACTGGGGAATAGGCCAGGTTTTGAAAACAAGTAAATAATATAATAAATTTTTCTAATACAATCTGCGCCTATGGATTGACAATATTGTGTCTTTTCACCATCTATAAATGCAGGTATCAGGGACCCCCCCCCCAAAACTCCCTTCTTAAATTTAAGGGGAGTATGAAAGGAGGGGTAAATGTGAATATTATCACTTATTCTCTAGATTGTCTAATGCAGAACTTGCCAGACTTAGATTTTATTTTTTTTTCATGCGCGGAAAACATCTTTTTGTCTACCTTTGCACGGACGGATCTGTGGACATATAATGAAACAGGTGCATGGAAAGGTCAAAAGAATATTATGCATGGAAGATGTTTTAAAAAAGAACTAAACCTGAGAGGAAAGTTACCCAAGAACTAAGACCAAACTCTACAGTCTGGGGTTCCTGTGTCTCCTACGACCTCCCCATGGAGACTGCTGTCCCCCAACCCCTGCCATGGAAAACAAAATATCCTCCACATATTCATGACAGGAGAGAGTCTCAGGCAGACTTGGCAACACTGCTCTCGCATGGTGGTCAAAAGCTCTCTCCTGCCATATATTTTCGATTCTCTGCTTTTCTGGGTGGTTTGGGGTGTGGCCCCCCTGCCTGCTATTTGGAGCACTTGGAATTTTGAGTTTTATCCTCTCGCTATGATATATTAGGAAATGCCATAAGATGTTACATGTTATTTCCAATTTTCTTCTTTATATAACCTATGAGATAATTATATTGTCTCATATGAGCAGTGTGGATAAATAATATCTCACTATGGCAGTGGCGCTGTCAAATGATTTATTGGCAAATGCAGGCAAATATCCACCATGTATAATACTTCAAGATAGAGTTTGAATTCGTTCCTTCTTAGGGAGTGTTAAAAGTTACAAGAAGTCACAGCCACTGTCTGTCAAGAGTATGTCCTATTTTACTGAAGTGTATGACTAAAGGTACTTCGTACTTATATGGAGGTTACAATGTAAGCCTTCATTATATTGCCAGATGTGCAGGAGTAATTGAACAGAAATGTCTAAAACTGAGAAATAGAGATCAGCCAAGAAGTACGCAATTCTTAGAGAGACCTCTGAAACTCTTGGCATCGTCACTTTTATTTAGAACTCAATGAAATAATATTGCTAACGAGAAGATATAATCTAGAGACCATCCTTGTAAACTCTTCTGTCTGTAAGTCATATCTTGATTATATGTCTATAGATGTGACTGCAAAATTGGGTAGCTTTTAGTTTGAACCCCCTTTTTCTGTCTGTGTATTGAAGATCTTAATATTTCAGCTTGGCATATTAATATGTTTTATATCTGTGCTTTAGGATATTGATGAATATGCTGACTAAAAATAGCGGGTTTAATCTTTATGGTATGGGTGCACAGAGCTAGGGCAAATTGACGATGATACTCTAGTGTAGTGGATAGACTAAGCACTTCTCACAGACTAAGTCCACTCATACTGAGGTGAAGAAATCATATTCCTGGGGTGTGCTTGTTGAGGAGGCTCAGTCATGGCAACTTAGATTGTTAAGTAGATTTTGTAATATGGAGTTAGGTACTTAGTCTGTGATAAGTGCATCCATACTGTCAAGATTTACCAATGGCAATAATAGATATTCAATTAGTGAAAATTTTTAATCAGCAGTTTTGATTATCAACTCTATTCATAGTCACTTGACACTTATGTTTTGCGTTTGTCAGGTACAGCTTGACATTTTTAATCCACAACATTCTCTCCCTACCATTTTCGCTACACATTATTGTTGACAGAAGCAAATTACTTGGGAGAAATTTCTTAATGTCTGTACTTCCTTAGTTCCTGTTGAATGTTTTATTTCAGATTTAAA